CCTTGCCTTGCCTTGCCTGCGCCTTGCCTGCGCCTTGCCTTGCCTTGCCGAAGCGGTGCCATTGCCTTGCCTGCGCCTTGCCTTGCCTTTCCTGCCTCTGCGCTGCCCGCGCGCGCCTTGCCTTGCCTGCGCTGCTCGCGCGAGCAAACCCTAATTCTGCGCGCAGCACGCTGCTGCCCCGCGCGCGCAAACCCTAATTCTGCACGCAGCTCGCTGCTGCCCCGCGCGTCGCGTCCGCCGCCTGCGCAGCCCGCTGCTGCCCCACGCGACGCGTCCGCCGCCTGCGCAGCCCGCTGCTGATTCGGAATGACTACGCTTGAAACCAGATGAAACCAGATGCACCTCTGCATGTGCTAATTTATATTGTTCTTGGAATTATTTTTATTTGCCAGTATTGTTTGTTGTGCTAGCAATACATACGATGGTATGAACAACCATCCATACAAATATCAAATGAGGTATCCCTATGTGCTACTGCAAAACTTCAAACATATGCGTAGGGCATGCTTCCAACAACTGACGGCACATATCACTATGAATAGATGCTTTTGAAGGCGAATAATGGTATCCTACATAGTTGTTCCCTAACTACTGATATTTCAATGCATCGGAAAGGTTTAAGATGCAGCAAAATGGTTTAAGAGGGTTATTGAAGAGTCATGATAGGACCTAACAAGATGGACAGATCGCAAAATAGATCGAGTGTCGATGAGGTAATAACGCAGATGCACGGCTCGGTCAAAAAGCTTGACGCATTTTGTCTTCTCGTCCTCCTCACCGGTCTCATACAATCGCACAAAGGCGAATGCTTCGGGTTCACCACTGGCTCGTCGAATGTCAACGTGGAACAACATTAGCAAATCCGCATATGATGTGATGTTTTCAGGCTCCCCGTTTGGTCCAACAGTGGTCTGCAGTAAAGCAACACGTGAGAAGGCAGGTGCCCCATGAAAGCTCGGAGTTGCTCGTACGTAGTGTGCAGCACGCTCTCCGCTTGAAGGGATGGCGAGAGCGGTGTGGACCTGCATGGGTTGATGGGTTTGGGGGAACAATTTTAGAGAACAAGGAAAATTATGCAACATTGGAGGGAAGATGGACGAATTCATAGAGGAACACAAATTAGAAGAGAAAACAAGGCCTGCGGGACCGAGTCACTGGTGCTTAGAGTTCTTACATGAACAGCTTGCACCGTAATGCCCAACTCGGCAATACATGATTGCAGATACCGCATGCCCTCTGGGTGACACTGCTCAAAACTCCTCCACGCGGCTGTCCCCTTCTTGGATGGGTCTCCAAATGGCATGCAGACAGTGTCGTACGTGGAGGTGAGGACGCTTGAATGACTACGGTCCGCCTGTGGACATAACAAAGTAGTAAACGTTGTAAGGGGAACAACGTGAATGTATGATGCCTTGGCTCATTAGGCGCACAATGAATATGGGCATATTGCTGATTCAGAACAAGGGAGCTTGAAGGCCTTATTGACTCACCTTTAGGAGAGCAGTATCGTAAGTTGCTGGCCTAGCAAGAGCCGAAACTCGTGTGCTCAGCATGTATCTCAGCCGGATATTGCGCAAGATTGTTTCATCGTACTGGCGATAGTTGGACCCACGGAAGGGTTGTTTGCATGTTGTTGTGTGAGCGTGCTCATACAGGCTTGTGCAATACTCATTCGGGGCACCACCAAGTCGAATAGTATCTGGAAAATGGGTGAGCAGATGGATTTTCACCAAATCCCACCCATCTCCATCACGCTTTACTTGCGTTTGCAATAGGCGAACCAATCTGGAGTGCATGAACGGGGTATTGGAAAAGAAACCGGTGCAAAAGATATGGTTATGGAAAAACATGTATGCACAACGACGTTGAAAGGCGCAAACTTGAGGCAGGAAAACGTACTCTTGGGTAGCGTCGACGTACTCATCCAGCATCGCCTCCGGGTACTCTTCTGCTCGGAAATATTTGTCAAACCATTCGACAAACTTGCGCAAGACACGCATGTGGGCGTCCGTGATTAAGCCTTCCAACAACACCACGGCGACCTGCCACATAATACCACCAAGAAAAAAAAACATAAATGGTTTGTGAGAGTGGGGGGGCGAGGAAAAGAAAGGGGGGGGGAACAGCTTTAAAGTGGGGTAGGGTGGGGGGGGAGGGAGGAGGAAGGGGGGGGGAGTGGGGGAGAGAGGGGGGGGGGGTGAGGTGTTAGAAAGCAATATTAGTGGATACATGATCACAAAGGCACAAACAGCCTTCACACTAATCTCCCTCAACATAACCACCCACACTCCCTCCTCGTGTGCGTCAAGAATAGGGTTTTGGTAATGTATTACATTCCTCTCATCAATTCCACATTTAGTAACACCTTACCTACACTCTCACACCCACGGCCCATGGTAGCTCTCTCGCCCTTAACACGAGAGCCCCCTTATACACCCGATACTCCGCCTCTCTACCTCCCCCAGATATTGTATAGGGTCACATCCTACAGCAATGGCCAACTGATGCAGTAATCCGCTATCCCTATTTACCTCCCCACTTCGCTCCGCACCCTTGCTGACAAGCCCATCCCCTACATCACATACCAGGCCACCACTCACCCTCAGGTTTCAAGCCCATCCCCCACCTTCACATGCCAGGGTGCTACTCCCCCTCAGGTTACAAGCCCATTCCCTACCTCACATACCAAGCATGCTACCCTCAATCAGGTTACAAGCCCATGCCCATCTCTTACCTCACATACCAGGCCACCACTCTCCCTCAGGTTTCTAGCCCATCTCCTACCTCATATACCAAGCCATTACTCTCCCTCAGGTTACAAGCCCATTCCCTACCTCACATACCAAGCATGCTACCCTCAATCAGGTTACAAGCCCATGCCCATCTCTTACCTCACATACCAGGCCACCACTCTCCCTCAGGTTACAGGGCCATTCCCTACCTCACATACCAAGCATGCTACTCTCCCTCAGGTTTCAAGCCCATTCCCTATCTCACATACCAAGCATGCTACCCTCAATCAGGTTACAAGCCCATCCCCTACCTCACATAGCAGGCCACCACTCTCCCTCAGGTTTCAAGCCCATCGCTTACCTCACATACCAAGCCATTACTCTCCCTCAGGTTACAAGCCCATGCCCATCTCTTACCTCACATATCAGGCCACCACTCTCTTCCAGGTTCCCGAAACCATTCCCTGCCTCACATACCAAGCATGGTACTCTCCCTCAGGTTACATGCCCATGCCCATCTCGTACCTCACATACGAGGCCACCACTCTCCCTCAGGTTACAGGCCCATGAATCTACCTCACATACCAAGCATGCTACTCTCCCTCAGGTTTCAAGCCAATTCCCTATCTCACATACCAAGCATGCTACCCTCAATATGGTTACAAGCCCATCCCTTACCTCACATACCAGGGTGCTACTCCCCCTCAGGTTACAAACCTATTCCCTACCTCACATACCAAGCATGCTACCCTCAATCAGGTTACAAGCCCATGCCCATCTCTTACCCCACATACCAGGCCACCACTCTCCCTCAGGTTACAGGCCCATGAATCTACCTCACATACCAAGCATGCTACTCTCCCTCAGGTTTCAAGCCAATTCCCTATCTCACATACCAAGCATGCTACCCTCAATATGGTTACAAGCCCATCCCTTACCTCACATACCAGGCCACCACTCTCCCTCAGGTTTCTAGCCCATCCCCTACCTCATATACCAAGCCATTACTCTCCCTCAGGTTACAAACCCATTCCCTACCTCACATACCAAGCATGCTACCCTCAATCAGGTTACAAGCCCATGCCCATCTCTTACCTCACATACCAGGCCACCACTCTCCCTCAGGTTACAGGCCCATTCCCTAGCTCACCTACCAAGCATGCTACTCTCCCTCAGGTTTCTAGCCCATTCCCTCCCTCATCGGCTCGTATCATACCCGCCCTATCTCTCACGTCCTCATTGCAGGCCACTACTCTCTTGCAACATACACCATTTGTGTCAGGCATTTTGCCCTTATCACTGTCCAGATTGGCCATCATACCTTCATCATCGCCGCATGCTCTGCAGCCGAGTAGTTGGCACCTAGGGAGAAGTAGTTCCCCGGTGGTGGACTCTTCACCCCCGCAAGGAGGATGTCCTTGTACGAATCTCGGTGTCGCCTGTTAAAAGGCGCAAGAAAACATGGTCAAATCGATGGTAGATATGTCCAAGAATGCAGTTCATCGCGCATTTGAATGCATACTTACTTGTTGGCCTGTTTCCCACATTTATTTGCGAGAACGATGGACTCCAAAATGTACAGCCATATGCCGATCAATATGACGTGTAAGATATCCAGTTTGATGATGCGGTAAGGGTTGCCCCACGGTTGCGCCCGATCCTCTGCTCTTCCAAAAGTCCATAAAAAATACTGCATGGAAACCGTAAACGCAAAAGAATTTATCTGCATCCTTCACGCAAGGGATGGAGGCATGGTCAATTCTTAGACCCCATGCCGGGCTGGTCATAGCATGGGAGGGCCTACATGGGGAGGGCAGGGCAGGGGAGTGCAAAGAAGGTGAGGCCTGAGCATATGATTGCATACAAGGGAGGGCAGAGCAGGGGAGTGCAAAGAAGGTGAGGCCTGAGCATGTGATTGCATACAAGGGAGGGCAGAGCAGGGGAGTGCAAAGAAGGTGAGGGCTGAGCATGTGATTGCATACAAGGGGAGGACAGGGCAGGGGAGTGCAAAGAATGTGAGGCCTGAGCGTGTGATTGCATACAGGGCAGGGGAGTGCAAAGAATGTGAGGGCTGAGCATGTGATTGCATACAAGGGGAGGGCTGGGCAGGGGAGTGCAAACAAGGTGAGGGCTGAGCATGTGATTGCATACAAGTGGAGGGCAGGGCAGGGGAGTGCAAACAAGGTGAGGGCTGAGCATGGGAGGGCGTGGCACATGTAGGCAGATCACTGGAGGGGCATAGAAGGGTTTAGGGATTGGCTATGGAGTTCATAGCACCGGCTCGGCAAAGCACATGAGGGCATAGCAATGGTGGGCACAGCACGAGAGGGCAGAGTACGGGAGTGCAGAACACAGGAGGGCTGAGCACAGGAGGGTAGAGCACCGGATTGCGGAGATAACTCTAGTAACGGGAGCTAGACTACGGGCTAGGCACGGATGCTCGTGTGATCTCTGCGTTCGTTGGTCCTTAGTCGTTTTCCTAGTGCGCACACTACTTGCTAGTTCACAAGGAAATTTGGCAAGAGTTTCACTAGAGAAAGTTGACAACAATGATACAATGAAGTTGGCTAGGAAAGACTACATCAGAGCTAGGATGCAAGCAGGTCGACTGCCAGCACAGCACGGTCGACCGCGTGCCAGCACGACTTGGTCGACCGCGCTCCAGCAGTACAGGGACGCGGCTTGCTAACGCTGCAGGTCGATGGTGTGACAACAGCGCAAGTCGACGGCGTGCCAGCGTTGCTCCTGCAGTCCAGCATCGCACCAGCTTCGCAGGTGCTCGTAGATGATTGGCGCGCACTGCTTCGTCACCTGCACAGCGTACGCACCAAGTCCACCTTGTGCTGACGACTGCATCTCATCTGCCAGGTCGACCTCGGGATACCACCACCGAGGTCGTCCTTGCCAACCTCGCCTGGGCGACCTTCGCGTGCCTTCGCGTGCCTCGTCACCCAGGTAACCTGGTCGACCGGGCAACCACGTCGACCAGGTGCTCCTGTGCGTGCCTGTCGACCTCCCAAGTCGACGGCCACCTCCAGTCGACCTCACCAGGTCGACCACGCCCTCTGGTCGACCAACTCCAGGTCGACGACACTCCTTGTCGACCACCTCCAGGTCGACCAGCACTCCTGTTGGCCGACCACCCAAGTCGGCTACCCCAGGTCGGCGTCCCCAAGTCGACGCCCTCTGCAGGTCGACTTCTCAAGTCGACCACTTGAAGTTGGCGCCCTCCTGAAGTCGGCGCCCTTGCAGTGGCTCCCGTGCAGGTCGACCAACCCCGTCGACCAGCTCGCCCACTGCTGCAGGTCGGCTCCCACGATCCGCATTCACAGCGAGCGCACCTCCCAAGGCGCCTCTCTCCGTGCGCTCGCTCCCACGATCCGCATTCACAGCGAGCGCACCTCCCGAGGCGCCTCTCTCCGTGCGCAAGCTCCCACAATCCGCATTCACAGCGAGCGCACCTCCCGAGGCGCCTCTCTCCGTGCGCTCGCTCCCACGATCCGCTTTCACAGCGAGCGCACCTCCCGAGGCGCCTCTCTCCGTGCGCTCGCTCCCACGATCCGCTTTCACAGCGAGCGCACCTCCCGAGGCGCCTCTCTCCGTGCGCTCGCTCCCACGATCCGCATTCACAGCGAGCGCACCTCCCAAGGCGCCTCTCTCCGTGCGCTCGCTCCCACGATCTGCTTTCACAGCGAGCGCACCTCCCAAGGCGCCTCTCTCTGTGCGCTCGCTCCCACGATCCGCATTCACAGCGAGCGCACCTCCCGAGGCGCCTCTCTCCGTGCGCAAGGTCCCACAATCCGCATTCACAGCGAGCGCACCTCCCGAGGCGCCTCTCTCCGTGCGCTCGCTCCCACGATCCGCTTTCACAGCGAGCGCACCTCCCGAGGCGCCTCTCTCCGTGCGCTCGCTCCCACGATCCGCATTCACAGCGAGCACACCTCCCAAGGCGCCTCTCTCCGTGCGCTCGCTCCCACGATCCGCTTTCACAGCGAGCGCACCTCCCGAGGCGCCTCTTTCCGTGCGCTCGCTCCCACGATCCGCATTCACAGCGAGCGCACCTCCCAAGGCGCCTCTCTCCGTGCGCTCGCTCCCACGATCCGCATTCACAGCGAGCGCACCTCCCGAGGCGCCTCTCTCCGTGCGCAAGCTCCCACAATCCGCATTCACAGCGAGCGCACCTCCCGAGGCGCCTCTCTCCGTGCGCTCGCTCCCACGATCCGCTTTCACAGCGAGCGCACCTCCCGAGGCGCCTCTCTCCGTGCGCTCGCTCCCACATTCCGGATCGGCATAGCTTTGTGCTAGTCTCAACTCATACTCTTACCTTGACTGGTGCTGTATCCGCCACGGAGTGTCACTAACACAAGGAGGGAGTTCACGCATAAGCTAGTGTCAGATCTGCTTCATACGATAACTGCGCACGTTAAAACTTCGACCGTTGAACAAAGGCCATGGTGGGCCAAACCTGAATGTGTTTGTCACATGGGAGCAGCAATAGATGGACGGCCTGTATTTGTTGGAAATTGCTGCAGCAATCATTGCTGCAGCCTATCAGTTCATGCTGCCTTCCAGATTTCAATGGCTTGTTCTTGGTGTTTTGCATGGCACCACAAGTTCTGGTGCAAGTTGTTTGAGTGAATGAGATGAGGTGTGATCTAGATTCTTGGGTGTTGCATGTACCTAGACAAGTTGCCTTGCTTAGCAAGGACTAAACAACCAATCGGTGTCACTCTCACCAAGTGTTGGAATGTGCACAAACTTCTCCCATGATGAACCATCCCAAATTCAGAATGACTTGTTCTTGGTGTTTTGCATGTCACCACAAGTTGTGCTGCAAGTTGTTTGAGTGAATGAGACTACTGTAGGTGTGATCAGGAGGTGTTACAAGTTGCCCTGCCCACCATGCAACCAACAATCAATTGGTAAAAGGCATCATCATCATGGCTAGCGTGGTGGTCCTTGAATTGTCCTTCCATGTGAGGCAATGGGCTTTCTGGCTAGTATGGCACTTTCCCCACAAGGACAAATCTATGGTACACTGTTTTTTTTTCACAATACAGACGTGTATGTGAAGTTCCTTGTACCGATACACATTAACCAAACAACCAACACGGGAAAATAATGATGTAAACCACAAGGCTATAACGAGTATCTCTCAACCACGCATCTTTGTTCAGTAAGTGTGGGGGGGCACTATTAATATAGTGTGAAATTCCTCTGTAATCAATTATTGATTACAGGAATGTTGACAAAGCATGGGGCATTGTGTTGAGATTTTCTCCGTTCCTAATCAGAAAGTCTAATCATAAATTCTACGAACAATTCTAGGCGGTTAACTCTTCTGCGTTTTCTAACGCAAGGTTGGTGTTCGCTACGACGATACATTTGATCATGTAAGCTACCACACATCACTCCGCATTCTACACGCCTTCTTAACAGCACTCAGTGTTCTAATTCGCCAAATTGACGTGTCAACAGGACTCCTTTTCACGCTCGGCGAAACATGTACAGACCTAGACACACTTTTCCTAAGGTAAGATCCTAAGGGTATCTCTCAGCCCAACAACCCCATACTTTGTGACTTAAAATTAAGGAGTATTCAACTTCTCGGTTTTTGCATGCATGGTGCTTCAACGGCGATAACATCTACATGTAACTACAGCGGCTATTCCAAATTGGCGTGTTAATTCCCAACAAGTCTCTGTTCAACAATGCGGTTTTTTGTTATCCAAAGTTGCTTGGCTGTCTGATTTGTCCATAGCGGCCATGTGCCGACCAAACTTATTTTGCAACGCTCTCCAGCCCTATCAACATCATACGAGTGATCGTGGCCTTGCGAAGAATCACTACACAACGGGAGTGTGTTAACGGGCGTTGAATGTTGGCCCCCCTCCTCGCCTGGGCAACGCCAACTGCGACTTGGTCAGATGTACGAGAGAAGCAGCCGACCGTCCGCAGTGAGAAATGTCGAAGGAAGTTGGCCCCGCCCTCGCATGGGCAAAACTGACTTCGTGGTCGGGTGTGCGGGAGGTGCAGCCGACCTTCTGCAGGTGTACAAGGGTTGCCTGTACGCATGTTGTACTAAGGAATCCATGCAAGAGTAACTGTAGCATCCGCGGGTGCAACACAGACCTCCCGTGCGCATGTGCAAGTTGCGCAGCTCGTGTAGAAGTTCGCGGGTGTTCATCTGCGCAGGGTCGCGTCTGACCCTGCGCACCCTTAAGGCTACACAGGCGGTTTTTGGCCAGAAAATCGAATGTGCCCAAATTTCGACCAATCAGGAGCTGACATTTTGAAATGTCAACTGAGGTGCTCAATGAAGGTGCTCGACGAAGGACATCGAGCAGCGACGATGGAGGTCGTCAACCCGAGACGACAAAGGTCGTCCACTGGTGATGACGAATGTCATCGTCCTGCAGAGATGTCAGGGACTTCATCTGGTTGACCAAGTTACCTGCTCGACGAGTGCGCGAAGGTGTGCGAACGTCGTCGAGGCTGCTGTGGCGAAGTCGACCAACGCGGCAGCACGAGGTCGACGTGGCTCATCATGTGCAACCGTCAGCATGTGGATGCAATGTTTCCAAGCCGCGCGGATGCTGCGTTGGCAAGCCGTGCGAGTGCAGCGTTGGCAGGCCGCCATCTGCAGCGTTGGCAAGTCGCGTACGAGCTGCGTTGGCGGACCGCAGACTTGCTTCGTTGGCAGGTCGACGACTCGGTCGTGCTGGCGATTGACGTGCCTGAGTGCTGGCAAACCCTGTATGTGATGTAGTCAATCTTTGCCGTTGCTTGTTCGTTATGAACTTTGTATTCTCAACATTCCTTAGTGAAACTCTTGTTGTTTTGCCCTGTGAAAACACAAGTCCCGGAGAACATAGACAGAGCTACGAGCACGCTGATAAATCGTGCCAACCCTGTAGTCTATCTCCCATCGTTGTTATAGTTAATCTCCTCAAAGGAGCTGCTCGACAGGCGTCGTCGAGCAGAAGAGTGCCAATGTGGGGTTTCCGTCGACCATGGGTGGTCGACGGGCGCAACCGACTGGGCTTGGGCGACGGGTGGGCCGTCGTCCAAGAGTGCAAGTTCGACGGAGAGGTCGACGGAACCGTCCGTCGACCTGACAAGTGAGCAGCGGTCGACGAGGGGAGCTCGGCGACAACGGTTGATTGTGCTGGTCGACGGAAGGGGTTGGTCGACCTAGGAGATGCTTGAAGGGAGCTGTGGTCGACCGGAGTACTTGGTGCTCGACCAGAGGCACCTGGTGGTCGACCAGAGGCACCTGGTGGTCGACCGGAGGCACTGGTGGTCGACCAGAGCACCTGGAGGTGTGCAGGTCGACCAGGTAACCTGCTCGGCGAGTTTGGCGGAGGCACGCGAACGTCGTTGCGGTCACGATGATGAAGGTGACTTTTGGCTAGAATCCCGAAGTCGATGTGGCTCGTCAGGCGCAGACAACAACCGACCCATGCACAGTAACGCAAGTTGGGCTAATCGTCTGCGCGCACCCGTGACCGTGCGCAATGCTATCTTCTACGGGGCTACGGTGGACAGCCGCCCTGCTGCGGCGTTGGCACGCCGTCGACCTGCTTTGCTGGTAGGTCGCCCTTCTGCAGTGCTGGCGCGACTCCTCTACGCAACGCTGGCAGGCGGTCGACCATGCAGTGCTGGCGGTCGACCAGGCTAGCTGCAGAGTTGCTAGGTGCCTGAGGTAGTCGATCCTGTCCTTGCTTGTTCGATCATCCAAAAATTCCAACTTTTCTAGTGGATATTTTTGCTAGATTCTCCCGTTAATGTGCAGGCATTTGCGCATATAACAAGTAGGCGCAGTTAGGCATATTGCGCAGGTGCCAGGTAGAACGCGTGGCGGCGGTTTCTACAGCCATGCACCGTCGGGTACGTGATGACGCCTCGCAGGTAGACTTCTCCTAAACCTCATGGGCGACATTCGCCTACGCGTCGCATATCGCAGTCTAGTGACTTACGTTGACCATTTTGACGATCCTCTGTCGAAATGTGTTCGCTTAGTCGTGCATGTCAAATGGCGCCCGTATACCAGCACCTCAATACAGACGTGTCGACTAGCGTCCTTTGCGAGTCCGTCGACCGCGTCCTAGGCGAACAGAATATTTGTCGACTCCTGCGCGCTGTCAAGATCTACTTCCACGCGCGGTTGACGCCGTCTTCTGTGCGCGGTCGACGACGTCTTCCGCGCGATCGACGTCGTCTTTTGTGAGCAGGTTGATGTCGTGCACCCAACTGCGGAGTCTGCTTCACCTGGGGCGAGAGCGAGGCCATGTCCCATCAACGGGCCTTCCTTGTGTTGTCACCACTTGCTTGTTCATAGAAGGAGGTGACCAAAGTTTCAAAATTAAGATACTACACGGGCTGACGAAGTAGAGTTGGCGAACGGAGATAAGTCACTATCCTATGGACGACGGACACGATCGTCACTAACAGTGCAAGTTGTGAAAGTGAACAACTTGCCGTTGGAAGTATACGTATAATTGTCGACCTGAAGCCGCGTGTGGTGCTGTGGGAGTCCACTATAGGTGTCTGACACATTGCATTGTGATATGTTTGCGACAAGGAGTAGGGAGAGGTAATATGTATGTTTAAGGTAATATGTAGCAAACTATTATTTCATAGGTTTGGTGTTGCATCGTAGTTGTTACAACGAGCTAGAATAGGTACTGCAAACTCGAACACCTGATTGGTCTGCCGTCGATCACCAGCCTCACTGGTTCCTCGCGCCACTGGTTCGAGTAACGAATCCAGCTTTTTGAAAGAGCGTCTTGGATGTGAAGCCTAGTCCACGCTGTAAGATCCACCGGTTCGGATTCTTCCACAGTCTTTGTATCAGTGAGCACCGTTCGATAAAACGTGCAGCATCGACGGTCAAGCGGAAACATCGGAATGCACCTCTCCTCACCCCTTTACCCGAAGCGCCCAATCTGTCTAGCAGTTCTCTCCTTCCTCTCTCCGTCGACCACATCTCTTCATTTTCGCCATCACATTTTCGACATTTGGCCTCGATAGCTCTAGTCACAATACTCAAGCTAATGCTGCAAAATGGACCCGTTTTGACTCCTCACGTGCATTCCCTCTCATTTAGCGTGCGGTTATAACACTCTCCAGACAATTTCTCTGTGTATCCGCCGACTTAGCTACAGAAACTACCACAGATCGACAATGTCTTCAGGTCACACAGGCACGTTCATTCCGAGTGCACTCCCTATGAGAGCGGACCCTGCAGGCAATAATTCGCAGCCATGCCTGCATAGTAATCGCTCCAGTGGCGGCAACCAGGCACAGAAAAATGTGTCTGGTATTGTCAATGTTGAAGCCAATGGTGTGGACGAAGGTACGACCCCATCACTAGTCCCATCGGTGGCATATAACCCTTCCCTTCAGCTTTTGCCAGTTGTCGATAGGCTCTTTCTCAAGCTGCTCCTTTCCCCATCGTTTTTGCAGGAAACAAGTTTGTTTCGCTGAACCATATCTCCCGCAACTCCCCAAAAAAGCGCCAAGCTCCGACAAAGTCGAAGCGTGGAGAGCGGAGGGGGAAAGGAGTTTCGGCCGCCCCCGCATGTGGAAATCAACCGCAGCCGCGACAGTGGAGCGAGGCTGTGGCGCAGACAGCAATTCTTGGCGCAGCTTTTTCCGGCCGTCCTCAGCGTTACACCATGGCCGCGAACGCTGTCTTATCGCCATCACAGCCACGCCCTGGACTCCCTGCCGGCTCTACCCACCCCTCAGCTGCCGCCGCTGCCTCCGCCGATGCGCGTGCTTCATCCCACCTTCTCGCATCGCTTCCTCAGTCCAGCCCCGGTCTTCTCTCCGCCTCTGTCTCCCCCTCAGCTCCCGCCGCGGCTATCTCACCCTCCTCCGCCAATCCGCCTGCTTCATCCCACCTTCTCGCATCGCTTCCTCAGTCCAGCCCCGGTCTTGCCTCCGCCTCTGTCTCCCCCTCAGCTCCCGCCGCGGCTATCTCACCCTCCTCCGCCTATGCGCCTGCTTCATCCCACCTTCTCGCATCGCCTCCTCAGTCCAGCCCCGGTCTTCCCTCCGCCTCTGTCTCCCCCTCAGCTCCCGCCGCGGCTATCTCACCCTCCTCCGCCTATGCGCCTGCTTCATCCCACCTTCTCGCATCGCCTCCTCAGTCCAGCCCCGGTCTTCCCTCCGCCTCTGTCTCCCCCTCAGCTCCCGCCGCGGCTATCTCACCCTCCTCCGCCTATGCGCCTGCTTCATCCCACCTTCTCGCATCGCCTCCTCAATCCAGCCCCTGTCTTCCCTCCGCCTCTGTCTCCCCTTCAGCTCACGCTGCGGCTATCTCACCCTCCTCCGCCAATCCGCCTGCTTCATCCCACCTTCTCGCATCGCTTCCTCAGTTCAGCCCCGGTCTTCCCTACGCCTCTGTCTCCCCCTCAGCTCCCAACGCGGCTATCTCACCCTCCTCCGCCAATCCGCCTGCTTCATCCCACCTTCTTGCATCGCTTCCTCAGTCTAGCCCCGGTCTTGCCTCCGCCTCTGTCTCCCCCTCAGCTCCCGCCGCGGCTATCTCACCCTCCTCCGCCTATGCGCCTGCTTCATCCCACCTTCTCGCATCGCCTCCTCAGTCCAGCCCCGGTCTTCCCTCCGCCTCTGTCTCCCCTACAGCTCCCGCTGCGGCTATCTCACCCTCCTCCGCCAATCCGCCTGCTTCATCCCACCTTCTCGCATCGCTTCCTCAGTTCAGCCCCGGTCTTCCCTATGCCTCTGTCTCCCCCTCAGCTCCCGCCGCGGCTATCTCACCCTCCTCCGCCTATGCGCCTGCCTCATCCCACCTTCTCGCATCGCCTCCTCAGTCCAGCCCCGGTCTTCCCTCCGCCTCTGTCTCCCCCTCAGCTCCCGCCGCGGCTATCTCACCCTCCTCCGCCTATGCGCCGGCTTCATCCCACCTTCTCGCATCGCCTCCTCAGTCCAGCCCCGGTCTTCCCTCCGCCTCTGTCTCCCCCTCAGCTCCCGCCGCGGCTATCTCACCCTCCTCCGCCTATGCGCCTGCTTCATCCCACCTTCTCGCATCGCCTCCTCAGTCCAGCCTCGGTCTTCCCTCCGCCTCTGTCTCCCCTTCAGCTCCCGCCACAGCTATCTCACCCTCCTTCGCCTATGCGCCTGCCTCATCCCACCTTCTCGCATCGCCTCCTCAGTCCAGCCCCGGTCTTCCCTCCGCCTCTGTCTCCCCTTCAGCTCCCGCCACGGCTATCTCACCCTCCTGCGCCTATGCGCCTGCTTCATCCCACCTTCTCGCATCGCCTCCTCAGTCCAGCCCCGGTCTTCCCTCCGCATCTGTCTCCCCTTCAGCTCCCGCCGCGGCTATCTCACCCTCCCCCGCCTATGCGCCTGCTTCATCCCACCTTCTCGCATCGCCTCCTCAGTCCAGCCCCGGTCTTCCCTCCGCCTCTGTCTCCCCCTCAGCTCCCGCCGCGGCTATCTCACCCTCCTCCGCCTATGCGCCTGCTTCATCCCACCTTCTCGCATCGCCTCCTCAGTCCAGCCCCGGTCTTCCCTCCGCCTCTGTCTCCCCTTCAGCTCCCGCCGCGGCTATCTCACCCTCCTCCGCCCATGCGCCTGCTTCATCCCACCTTCTCGCATCGCCTCCTCAGTCCAGCCCCGGTCTTCCCTCCGCCTCTGTCTCCCCCTCAGCTCCCGCCGCGGCTATCTCACCCTCCTCCGCCTATGCGCCTGCTTCATCCCACCTTCTCGCATCGCCTCCTCAGTCCAGCCCCGGTCTTCCCTCCGCCTCTGTCTTCCTCCCAGCCACCCTTGCTGCTCTCTTGCCCTCCTCCGCCTATGGGCATGCTCCCTCCTCTCGTCTCACCCCGTTCACACAGACCACCGGTCTTCCCTCCGCCATCGCCTCACAAGCTACCCTTTCCGCTCTCTCACCCTTCCTTGCTGGTGTGCAAGCTTCAGCACATGCCCGCACCTCACCTTTACAATCTGGTCTCCCATTCCCCGTCGCTTCCCTTCCTGCTACCTTCGGAGCTCTCTCACCCTCTTCCGCCTATGGGTTCAATTCCTCCCACCCTCTCACCTCACCTCTACAGTCATGCCCTGTTAATGGCTCCGCCTCTGCCACTACAGCCGCTACACAGACTCCGTCTTTCATCCGTTCTCATCCTTCGTCCGGCCAGCTTGCTGCTGCCGCTTTCTTATCCCCTGGACTAGCATCAGCCTCGGCCTTCACTCTTCGTGCTCCTGCTGCTCGCTCCCCCACTTCGGCCGTGACGCTGCGAGCTCTGCCTTCAGTTTCCCCCGCACCCTCTTCTTCAACGCCCCTTTCCGCCTCCCATCTGCCACAGGCAGTACGGCCGTGGAATCTTCGGCCACGCAAGCAGAAGTCCACTCCCACCGACCTGCCTCCAACAGAGGTTGATGGCCAAAATCTTGAAGAAGAGTCAGATGATGACTCGCTTTTTTATTATGGTCCCGAGAGGGAATCCGAGGGCGTTGCTGCACCACACCATGGTGCATCGAGGGGCCTTCGCGCCCAACTGGAAGCATCGCAGGCAGAACGCCGTGCTCTGGCTCGTCGTGTGATGGAGCTGGAGAACGAGCGTATTCATAAATCACCGCATCAGCCCTCGCAGGGAGTGGGTAATTCCAATCCAACCCTTGTCCAGCACGATGTTACCATCCCTGCTGCCCCCCATGATCACCCCATCTCTGCCTCGCCCACTCCTCCAGCCCTTACTCCCAACAGCATTGCACTCTCCAGCCAGCCCACTTCAGTTCTCCCCCTCTCTCCATCCAACGTGGTGTGGCCGCGCACTCAAGCGGCTTTTTGTCGTGCGGTGGCAAGGGCACGTGCTCGCAGGGAGTTGATTGACTGCTCGAGAATGAGCCAACGGCAAAGAGAGTGGGCAGTGAAAACGATTACTTCACTGGATGCTGTTCCGGATGTGCGTGGTGGCCTTGCGGTGAGTCTTGCAGAGCTTTTTGTAGTGTTCTCATGCCTCTGTACCCTCCCCTCGCCATTCCATTCTTGAAATACAAGCGTCTCATGTTTGTTCTTGTAGTGAAGCTTTTTATTGCCACATACCCACCTTCACCACCCCCACCACTCATTCTCCCCAAACTCTCATCCTCCCCCCTTTTCCACCCATCTTTCCCTCCTTTCACCTTCCATACTATCTCTCTTTTCCTGCTTGCCACTTAGACGCCCATCAAAGAGGCTGTTGACATCATTTTCTTTTGCACTAACCTCCACGACTTCACGATGTACCCTAGCCGCGAACGGAAGGAGTCAGCTTTATCCTTAGCACTAGATCTCATTGAGCCAGAAGAGCAGGACATTGTCGCTGTTGTTCTTGCCGCCGATCCCTATCGGAGCTCGTACTACACCAAGATCATCCAGGAGTTCCGAAACGATGCGCTGACTCATGGGCGCAACTGGGTTTACGATTTCTTCGACCTGCTAGTGCCAAGGCCGAAGCTTGGCGGGAAAAAGACAGGTCGAACGACTGTGGCAATGTTCCTAGCCCTCTATGGAGCTAGTGAGTCTCTTTTCTTTTTTTACCCTTCTCCATTTTACCCACCCACGTACCATTCTCCCATTTCCACCATTGGAATTCCTTCTCCTGGAAACGTCTACAAATTCCTCACCCGATTTTTCACTCTCATCACATATTATTTCACTCAAACTCATCTTTCCTCTTTACCTTACAAAAACCCTCAAGCCTCGTCCCCTTCAGCAAAATCCCCTTCCCCCCCCCCACCCCCCCCCTTTCCTCCCTCCCCTTCCCCCACCCCTACCCTAAACCAGGGTTTGCCCTTCCTTCTACCTCGCAAGTTCACACGCTATTGTCACACTCTTGACGCCCCGTACCCTCTCTGAAATTCCACTTTTTCTTCCCCCACACCGACAGGTCCACCATTTTATAACGTCCTCACTCTCTCCCTCTCCCTCTCCCCCTTCCTTTCTCCCTCTCCCTCTCCCTCTCCCTCTCCCTCTTCCCCTCTTTCCTCTCCCTCTTCCCCTCTCGCTCTCCCTCTTCCCCTCTCCCTCTCCCTCTTCCCCTCTTTCCTCTCCCTCTTCCCCTCGCCCTCTCCCTCTTCCCCTATCCCTCTCCCTCTTCCCTTCTCCCTAACCCTAAACCCCTCTCCCTCCCCCTCTTCCCTTCTTCCTCTCCCTCTTCCCCTCTCCCTCTCCCTCTTCCCCTCTCCCACTTCCTCTTCCACTCAAGGAGCTCTCTGAAACTCCCTATCCTATGGGCGTCGCAAAAATCGATGCGTGTCCTCTTTGAATTCCCTTTCATTATTCGTTCTCTGTTTGAGTCTCCCCTATTTCCTCTCGCATAAACAAGTAGTCGGCTTCTCCCCTCTTTCATTGTTTGGCACTACCAACCCTCCCCCCTTCCTTCTCCCCTCTTTCCTCCCTCTCCCCCCACCCCAAACAGCCCCTGCACCCCATTCCACCCTCGCGAGTTAAATCACTGTTTTCAATCATTGAAACTCCCCCTCACCTTTGAAATCCCACTCTCTTCCCACACACCGACCAGCACATCTTACAACTTCCTCACTCGCCCTCTCCCTCGCCCTTTACCTCTTCCCCTCTCCCTCTCTCGTTTCCCCCTACAGAATTGCATCAAGAAACCCCTTCTCTTCGCCATGCTGAAAATCCCATGCCTCGTCCCTTGCAACTATTCTTACCGCCCCCCCCAAGTCTCCCCTCAGCAAATGCTGCTGCTGCTGCTGTTGCTGTTGCTGCTGCTGCTGGTGCTGGTGCTGCTGCTGCTGCTGCTGCTGCTATTGTTGATGTCGTCGTCGTCGTTGTATTGCGCACGGACGCTAGTCTACCTTAACAAAATCATACGTGATGGATATTAAGACATGAGTCTCCAACCAAATACATTGTAAGGGCTATAAGTTCAAGAAACGGGGTAAAAAATACTAACCAGTCCACCAAACAGCTCATATGGACATGACTGGCTATCCTTGAACTTATTGAACCCGTTCCACGCAATGACGATTGTATGGCTCCCCAAATTAGTGGCGACTGACCTCAAATGTAGACGGTCCCATGTAGACAACATTTCATGAAGATATGGTGACGTACCATGGCACTACACTGTTGATAATGACATGACTTGGCAATCTGGACCAGAATTCAAACTACCAGGTGGAAAGCCACGTTCTGGCAAACACTAGAGTAGGGGAAATTCAAGAATGAAAAGGCTTTGAATAATCTCAACGCTTGTCAGACTAACCTACATAGATTGTAAAGGCTATTTGCGGCAAGAAACGAGAGTTAAAACTCCAAACAAGGCACTAAACTGTTGATAGTAGGATGACTGGCTATCATTGCACAAATTCGACCCGCTGTGCACGAGGACGCTTGTTTACCTAACCAAATCAGCGGCGAATAATCTCAAAGCTTGTTAGTCTTACCTAGATACGTTGTAAAGGCTCTTGGTTGAAGGGAGCGAGAGTTGAAAATACAAACAGGGAACTAAACCGCTGACAGTTAGATGACTTGATGTCCTTGTACAGATTTGACACGTGTTGCACACGGACGCTTGCTTACCTATGGTGAATAACCTCAACACTTGTTATAGAAACCTAGATACATTGGTAAGGCTATTTGTTGAAAGTAGCGGGAGTCCAAAATACAAACAAGGCACTCGACTGTTCACAGTGAGATGACTAGCTATCCGTGCACAGATTTGACCCGTGTTGCGCACGGACGCTTGTTTACCTATCCAAATCAACTTAGAATAGTATCAAATTTTGTTAGTCTTACATAGATACATTGTAAAGACAATTGGTTGAAAGAAATGTGAGTTAAAAATACATACGGGAAACTAAACTGCTGACAGTGTGATGCCTGACTATCCTTGTACAGATCTGACTTGTGTTGCGCATGGACACTTGCTTACGTATCCAATTCAGTGGCGAATAATCACAAATCCGGATAGTATCACCTAGATACATAGTGGAGGCTATTGGTCGGGGAAAAAAAACCTTAGTGATATAACTGGCTACCGTTAAAACAAACCCTAACCGCGTTTTGCGCACGGATTCTCATTTACCTATCCAAATCAGCTGCAAACGATGTCAGTATATTGGTCAAGATGTAAGGGAGTAAAAAATACTAACATGGTACTAAATTAGCGATAAGGACATGACAGAACTGGCTATCCTTCAACACGTTTCATCCGTGTTGCGTCACTAACACTTGTCTAACCATACAAAACACATTCGAATGATACTAAAACCAGACAGTATAACCTTCCTATCAACCAAACATTTGGCTTACCATGATAAATGCATACCGTATGAATTAAAACTATGTAAGTACAAGTCATATTACGGGATTAGGAATATTATATTTTGATAAATGTAATTGAAAATATTATCGGAAATTCACGAAATGCAGTAATGGGCAGTAGACATGTACTACTACATTTTTCAATCTTCATGAACACATCAAAGCTAAACCCTCTTACTATAAACTTATATGTTGCAAGTTCAGTGTTTCCAATCATGATGTACCAATATTACAATTTTCGAGTGCCAACACAGTAGTGCAGTTCTCACTCCAGAGCCAATGGGAGACGGGGTGTCATGGTGGGGGGATCCGAGGCTGAAATGTTAAGTCGAAGCTGCAGACGTGGCTCCTCAACGAATCGGGAGCTGCCACACTTGTTGCCCAAGTGATTTCCTGAGTTCCGAAGCTGCATGGGCGGGTTTGGTTTCGACGCGACGCGTCGAAAGTATGTTTTCCCGCTCAACTCAAATTGTTACTTCTGGCATACCCCCCGAAACCATACTTTTCGAGGGGGGGCATTTTTGGGATGGCAAGAGAATTTTTACTTGTATACAAGTACTACTAGTCTAGCTTTCTCCTGCACCACATCCCGTCCACTAGAAACACCCGTCACGTTTCTAAGGACCTCTGGGTTTCGGTAACCTGGGGAAGCTTGGAGTAGGCTTTGCGATCCCTATTTCTGGGATGCACATGCCATGAGAAACCTGCCAAAAAATTTGGGTAGCTTGAAGCTAGTACTAGTACTACCAGTTGTCATCCTAACCGCGGATATTCTCCCTGCCACCCGCCGCCATCCCCCAGTGTCAGCGCTGGTAGCCATCAAGGCCGCGCTGGGTTTGACGCTCACCAAGTGGTCACTCACTACTAGCCCCACCTGCAATGTCCCTCCTGCAACGACCGTGTCTACTGATTGGGACAGGCTCTCCTGCTCCAGTGATGGGGACGTGACTTCAATGTAAGCTCGGCAGTGCTGTGCTCTTGCCTCGTGCTTGTTGTCGTTCATATCGATTAGTTCTTAAGCATTTCCTTACTTTTCTGAGCCGCACCTCGTCCCTCCTGCGACGGCCTCAATCAGTGATTGAGACAAACTCAGCTGCTACAGTGGCGGGGACGTGCTAAGACGGGCACATACCAAAATTGTTGCCCATACTATGTACTTCTAGGTTCTGCTACATTCAATTTACTCTATATGGCTATATAGCTACAATTTTGTAGAACCTAGAAGTACACAGTACGGGGGGGAAACAAATTTGTGATGCAGTGCTGCTCGCGGCTGCGTGCTTGCTGTCCTTCATATCTGATTAGCCCTTAGCATTTGCTTACAATTCCTAATCAATAACTGCGGTACTAGTTGTGGTGTGTGTGTGTGTGTGTGTATGTGTGTGTGTGTGTGTGTGTGTGTGTGTGTGTGTGTGTGTGTGCGCGCGCGCGTGTGTGTGTGTGTGTGTGTGTGTGTGTGTCTGTGTGTCTGTGTGTCTGTGTGCGTGCGTGCATGCATGCGTGCGTGCGTGTGCATGCTTTTTTTTCTGACAGGATTTTAAATTCGCTCTCTATAGTAGGCAAGGATCTCCCCAGCGACTTGACCGCACTTTCGGCACTCACGTCATTGTGAGCAGACTCCCTTTACGATGCTTTTGCTCCCTAGATGGTACATTGTACTGATCCTATTGTTTTGCCCTCAAACCTGACTCTGCCACGGAATCGTTCACACGCATGTTT